CCTTTCTAGGATGAACCGGTTCGTTTTCTTAGCAGCCCAAGGTATATTCAATACTCTTCTCCAACACTACAGCTCAAAGGCATCAATTCTCTTTTTATCCTCCCTAGTCATTGTCCAACTCTTTGATGCATAGCAAGAGATTGCAAAGACTATGGCCTGTGTCAGGCGCACCTTTGTCTCCAGAGTGACAGCATTGCTCTTCAGTACTTTGGAGAGGTCCCTAACAGCAGACTTTGCCACCACAAAACATCTTTTAATTTCCTGGCTGCAGGTGCCAAGAGTGTTGACTGTGGAGCTGAGCAAACTAAAGCTGTGAACAATCTCAATCTTTTCACCATCCATCCTGATGCTGCCAATTGGCCCAGTGGTTAGAATCTTTGTTTTCTTGATATTGAGCCTCAATCCATATCGAAGGCTGTAAACCTTGACCTTCTGCAGTGCTTCAGGTCCTCCTCAATTTCAGCAACCAGGGCTGTGTCATCTACATAGCACAGATTGGTGATAAATCTTCTACCAATCTTGATGCCACACTTCTCCTCATAGAGCCCAGACTCCTGGATAATCTGTTCTGCATATAAGTTGAAAAGGTATGGAGATAGGACACATCCCTGGTGTACACACTCCTTCCTAATTTTGAAACATATAGTTTCCTTGCTCTGTCATGATGACTGCCTCCTGGTACAAGTACAGGTATCTCATTAGCATGACCAAGTGTTCTGGGATTCCTATTCTTCTCAGAGTCAGCCAGTTTGTTGCGATTCACACAAACGCCTTTGCATAATCAGTGAAACAGAGATAGACATTCCTCTGGTATTACCTGCTTTCAGCGAAGATCCATCTAACATTAGCTACAATATTCCTAGTACTATGACCCCTTCTAAACCCAGCCTGAACTTCTGGCAGGTCTCTGCTGTGCTGTTCCAATTGTTTTTGGATAATCTTCAGCAGAATCTTGCTTGCAGGTGATAGAAATGTTATTGTTCGATAATTTCCACACTGTTGGGTCACCCTTCTTTGGAATGGAAACAATCAGTTGGCCAAGTGGCTGTTCTCCAGATTTGACAGAATTTGGTGAGCACATCTAGGGCAGCATCTATTAGTTGAAATATGTCAACTGGTATACCATCAATTCCTGGGGCCTTATTTTTTGCCAGTTCTTTCAAAGCAACTTGAACTTCTTCCTTCATCACCATAGGCTCTTGCTCATATGTTGTTTCTTGAAAATCTTTTCTGGTCGTGCTAATAAGATGATTTCTTTTGGCACAATGACTGTGTATCTTCTAATGCTTTCTGGATCATTTAATATTCTGCCTAAAGCATCCTTGATTATAGCAACTTGAGGTTTGAATTTGTTCCTCAGTTCCTTGAGCTTAAGAAATGCTGAGTTCAGCCCTTTTGATTTTGACTCCAGCTCCTTGCACATTTCATTGTATTATTTTATTATCATCCTGCGCTGCCTTTTGAAATCTTCTGTTCAGCTCTTTAATATCATTGAATTCATCCCTCTGCCACAATCAAATGATCTGGGGTTCCCATTTTAAAGAGTCAGCCAGTGTTTGTTGCGATCCACACAGTCAAAAGCCTTTACATAGTCAAACAGACATTTCTCTGGTACTTTCTGCTTTCTGCCAAGATCCATCCAACATTAGCCTCATTTAAACCCAGCCTGCACATCTGGCCCTTTGTTTATGTACTGCACCAGTCATTTTTGGATAATTTTCTGCAGAATTTTGCTTGCGTATTAATTATATTGTTCAACAATTTCCTCACTGTCGGATCATCTTTCTTTGGAATGGGAGCAATTATAGATCTCTTCCAGTCAGTTGGCCAGCTGTTTGTTGAAATGTTAACTGGTACGCCGTCAATTCCTGGGGCCTTGTTTTATGCCCATTCTTTCAGAGCAGCTTGAACGTCTTCATCACCACAGGTTCTTGCTCATACGTTTCAGGAAATTAGCTACCTTTATTTCCTAGAGGTAGAATCTGATACACGGAGGTAGGCACTCGTAATGGCCCTCAGCGTGGAGCCTTGCCTGCATCAGTCTGCATGGTTTAAAATCAGGAAAGGTTTGCTGGACCCTTTCACACACTTAAACATTTGTATACATACACAAAATCTGTGTACCAAACACAAAAGTTGGCTGAGTGTCGAGGACTTGAATCACTTACTGAAGATCAAAGACTACAGACTTTATAAACTATATAAACGAAATGTAATGAAAACAAGTCCACTAGTCTATAACATCAGTGGAGGAGATCCAAGTTGTCAAGGATTTCATTTTATACGCATCCAGAGCAATGTGATGCCTCCACCTTGCCTCCAACACTGACCTTGGAAGCTGCGTGGACCAGACGACTCCGGCCCGAGATGGAGAAAGGTCGTGAGACTGTGTCATGAGCAGGGCACACGTCTTGAGTGCAGATTTTCTGGGTTTGCTACCACAGCAGAGACCATCCTGTGGTGACTAACGTTAGGGCTTTCTGTGTTCCAGCTCCTCGCAGCCCAGCACACGGCAGAGCGAAACACTGCCCGACTGTGCGCTGCGCTCAGCCCATCGCTCCTGAGCTCGCCCACACTGCTGCAGCCACCTTGGGTCCATCTCCTTGAGGGTCTTCCATTTTCCTGACCCCTCTACCAGCCAGGAGAACCTTCTCCGGGGACTGATCCAACATCCCCCAAGTATGTGATGCAGCATCTCATCATCGCTGCCCCAATGAGCATCCTGGCCGCACATTTTGCTTGCTGGTTACCTCACTTGGACACTGACTTTGTAAACATCCATAGGCATTTTGCCTTGTGTCACTGATGTAGAGTCTAACCTGCTCCTTACTGTGCACATCACCGTCCGTTACCTGTCCTTCAGGCAGTCCACGGCCTATCTGCCAACACCCCATTGCAAAGGCATCAGTGTTTTGGTCTTCTTGTTCATTATCCAACTATCACATATACACGAAACAACTGATGCCTTTGAGCTGTGGTGCTGGAGAAGAGTACTGATATACCATGGACTGCTAGGAGAACAAACAAGTTTGTCCTAGAGAGGGTTAAACCAGGATGCTCCTTGGAGACAAGGATTCTGAAGCTTCATCTGACATACTTTGGACATGCTGCAAGGAGGGACCAGTTCTTGGAGAGGAACATCATGCTTGGGAGGGTGGAGGGTCAGCGTAGGAGAGGAAGACCCTCAATGAGATGGATTGACTCAGTGACTGGGGTAATCGGGATGGGTGTGTCAGAGGCAGTAAGATTGGCACAGGATAGAGCAGGGTTTGGGGCTGTTGTACATAGGGTCGCTGAGTCACAGGTGACTCAAGCACACATAACAACATGAAACACAAACCCCACGGTTTGAGTCAGGCATCCTCGAGTCATCTGCTGCAGTCCCGTGGGGGCGGGTGGAAGAGGTCTTCCTTTCCTTTGCTGACCCTCCATCTTTCCAAGCAGGACGTCCCTCTCCAAGAACAAGCCTTGACAAACTACATTCCAAAGTATGAAAGACAAAGCCTTTTCCTCTCTGCCTCCGAGGAGCACTCCGGGTGCATTTTCCTAGATGCACCTGCTTGGTTTTTTAGCAGTCCAAGGGTACTCTTCTCCAGGACATCTCAAAAGCATCACTTTTTCTCCTGTCATCCTTATTCGTTGTCCAGCTCTGTGATGCTTAGGTGATTTAGAAGACCATGGCCTAAATCATGAACACCTCAAGTCTTTGAAATCCAGTTTTGGCTTTTTCCCCCTCTGGAATCTACATGCACGTTACGACTCACATCTGAAGGAGAACGTTGAACGATCCCTGGTAACGCAAGGTTAAGGATGCAGCACTGAACCAAAGCATGGGTGACTCAAAAGCCACTCTAAAACCCAAGGACTAGGAGGGTGTCAAGACTACCAGATTGACTGTTCACCTGATTATAAATGTAGTGACCAGCCTGGGTGACCATCCTGGAGCAGGAAGGTGGCATGACCTGGTCTTGCAGTGGAAGGGTCAGGATTCAGGTAGTGGCAGCTGTCCTTCACAACGTGATATATGTGACAGCCTGGGTCCTAGGCCCACCTCCCTCTGGAGGCTGCAGTGGTGAGGGGACCCTGGGAGCCACAGGGGTCCCATGCCGCCTCGCGCTGAGCCCGAGCCCCATCACAAAGCCATAGACCCACAGCCAAGAGAAAAGATATTTAATGATCTCTCAGACGAATCTCTTAAAGCGCTCAGTGTTTTTACAAGTGCAAGGGGGGATTGTTCTCAGCCAACACATACCAGTAATGCCAACAGACACGGCAGCACGCAGCACCTGCTGAAAAGCAACATGAGGTCTGGGGACAACAACTCTGCCCTGGTCCCAAGCCAGTCTTTGCTCCTGGTGGACAGAGGTGGGGGAAACGCAAAGGAGGAGAGGGCAAGTGTGCCCAGCTAACGAGGGCTGCCGGCCTAGAGACAGGCCCCAGCACACAGGCACGTGAACACCAACAGACATTGGTCAGAAACACAGAAAACAGCAACAGGAGCTCACCCAATCTCACGGTCAGAACGAAGCAGGGCAACGGATGAAGCCCATCTGGACTGTGTGTGCCAAGGGAGCGGGAGGGCAGCTCTCCGGAGGCCACACTGTGAGGCGTGCAGCTAGGGCCCACTGCATGGGGGCAGCTACACCAGGCAGGGAGAGGCGGGAGGTCCGCTCGCCGGCCTGCTCCCCTCCCTTGAGAACAAGCTAGAGAACAAGAACCATGGGGTGGGCTAACCCTTCTGGCCCCAGGTGGCCGCTGCCTTCTGGAATGTTCGCCTGGGCGGCTGGTTTAGTTAGGCTCCACACGTGGTTTAAGTGCTCGTTTTATTTCTCTTGTGCAAACGGTTACTGTCTAAAGCTCTCAGAAGGACATGTACAGACACAGACACCCTGTGGGGGACACCCTGTGGAGGCGAGGATGGTCAGCGGCCGCCTCCTCCCTGAGGCGGGCGGGGTGGGACGGGGGCAGGCGCGTCACAGAAACACGGAGGAAGAGTCAAGTTCAGTCCCTGATTCAGCCGCTTGGGGGGGCCTCAGTAGGTGATTGTCCACTCTTTGACGGAGGCATCGTGGGAGGTGGTGACCAGCGTGTGCTCGTCCAGCCAGGCCAGGCTGCTGACGTGGTGCAGCCGGTGGGCATCTGAGGGACAAGAGCACGGTGTCAAGAGGATCCCCCATCTCTGAGGGGGGGGTGTGCCTGGAGCATCGAGAACTGAGAAAACAGCGAGGGTGGAGGGCACTCGGACCCCTTCCTCCTCAGGCAGGCCGCGTCAGGGAGACGGCCTGCATGCTGCAGTCATCGACCACTCCAGATTCCGGCTGACAACAATGGCTGCACTTGGCCAACTGGCCTCTTAGCGCCTCCCCCCGGGGAGTGGCCTGGCTCACCCTCTGTCCCCACCCCCCATCCTGGGTAGCATGTGGCCCAGCTGCCAGGAACCCCCAGAGCTGCAATGTCCTTCCACACCACCACACTGACCCCTGACCTTAGTGTGGGGAGGACATCGTGTGCACACGTAAGCCTATGGCTCGGACCAGGAGCCATGTCGACTGCCCACAGCAGACAAGGAACAGGGCTGGTCTGTCCTCTCCCCTTGCGGCTCTCTCACATCACCTATGACCTTGACTCTCCTCCACAGCACCTCTGACCACTGGGTGTCCACTCAGCTCGAGACTGGGGAGATGGAGGCATGGACCCACGGGGCCTCAGAACACACCGAAGGGCACACTACCTTGAATAGGGCTGTGGGGGGAAACTGAGGAGAGGCAGATATAAGGGCCTCCCCGGGCTGTGCCGTCCAGGGGCCACCCGTCCCACACGACAAGAGTTTCTGGAAATGGGGCTGGTGCCACAGGAGGAACACTACTTGGTCAAATATCCTGCAGGCTGTCAGCCACACGGGGGCAGACTGCCCACCCTTCCCTCAGCGGGTAAATTCGAACACCTGCCTCTGGGCTGGCAGCGAGACTCCTGACCCTCCAGCTCCCCAGCACTCCTTGATTATTAGAGTAAGCCAAACAAATAAATTCTCAAGAATTTTTACTTCCTACTTTTCTGAACTTGTGATAACTCGGCTGCCAGAAACTTCTACAGTGTATCTGCAGCTCCCATCTGCCCAACTCCAGGGACGGAGAGCACATCCAGGCCACGTGTGGTCGTGAAGGAGAGGTGGGCAGGGACTCTCTCAGCTCAGAGTAGCCTACGTCAGGAGCCACTGCTCCCTTGTGGAAGGACACAGCTCTGGTCCCCATCAGGCCACCCACAGACACACAGGAAGCTGTGCCCGTAAACACTGGCCGGGGCAGCTGGGGTGCGAGATCACCTTGGATCTTGACTCTGGTCTCGGGGTCACTCAGGGTCCAGACGTACACCATCATGTCCATGCCACCAGAAGCAAAGTGCTCGTTGTCCGGGGACCAGGCCAGGCAGACAATCTTGGCGTGGTGCCCGTAGAATATGTTGTTCTCCTGGTTGTGGGGTGGAAAGAGGAAGGTCAGGGGGGTTCAGGCCGGAGCCCACACATCCCCCCGACCCCCCACAGCCCTCGGCCACAGCAGGACCAGCATTTAGAGTGCCAACAATGCTCTGGCAGCACCGGGGACCCAGGAAGCACCACGAGGTGGGATCCTGCCCTCTCAGTCACCTCCACAGTCCCTGAGCCCTGGGTCTCGTGGGAGACACCAGGCACAAATATCGGCATGGGAGCACAGCGCTAGGAGTTGGGCCTCAAGGGCCGCCCTGCCCCTCCCTGGGCAGGAACCTGTGAACCCCATGGAAGGAGAATCTGGCCCACAGAGCAGTGTAATACAGCCCAGGCTCCCGTCTAGGCCAGGTCTCCAGGCAGAGGGCAGGTGTCCCACTCACCGAGTAGCCGTCGGCCACGTTGAAGACCGTGACCACTTTGCTGGCATCACACACGGCGAGGAAGGCCCCGTCTTGGGAGTAGGCCAGATCTGTCACAGGGCCCTTGGCCTCCAGGAGCTTATCCTCTGGCTTCAGCGATGAACCCACGATGGAGTAGAGGCGGACATTCCCGTCCTGCGCAGGACAGGCAGGGGGTCAGCATCCCGCCTGCCCCCCACCACAGGTACCCCGTGTCACAGGAGTCACTAGGGTTCTGCCCTCTGTGGAAGCCATGCCTTTCTACTCCAGAAAGAGGGATGCACACCCCATCTTCAGCAGACCCCCAGTTGAGGATCACACCCCATCACCCCTGCAGAAGGACCGCCCACAGCAGCCAGGACGCTGGGAGCCACAGGCGAGTCGGGTCCTCCACCCTGTCATCAGGCTAGTTCTGGGGAGCACATCTCCACCTCCCATCTTCCCTCTGAGACGGCCTGGACTCACCCCAACCCTGGTATCCCAGAGCCCCACCGTACAGCCAAGTGGGAGGTGTGAGGGAAAGGGCTTACCGCGCCACCCACGGCCACCGTATCCCCCCCGGGGTGCACGGCCACCACCTCGGGCTCATAGTCAACGTTGACGCTGAAGCACTTCTTCTGGTCCTTGAGCAGCACAATCTACAAACACAACGCCAGTCAGAGGGCAGCGCCTAGGACGAAGCAACGGCCAGAGGGAGGGCCCCGCGTCCGCCCCCAGGACAGGTGCCATCTGCCAGGAAGGCAGGACTGTGTTTAGCGGTGGCGCTGAGCCACCTAACTGGGCCCAGTCCCAGCTTTGGGCCCCAAGTGATGCTTCGAGTTATCTGTTAGAAGGGGACAGGGCCAGTCACGGGATGGCCCTGCCACTACAGGCTGTTCTAGTTCAGTCAGACTACAGAAAAACCCTGTCAAAAAGGAGGGCAGGTACGGGACAAAATCTCAAATACCCAACTCCAGATAGGGTGACCCCTCAAACCAAAAACATCCCCAGAAGTCTTATTAAAACCAAATACGCGTCTAGTTTAACTGGTAATGGGGCAACAGCACCTCCGAACACGTCGACGGGAACCTCAGGGGCCAGGGAGCTGTGTGAGTGGGGGAGGAACTCCTCAGGCAAGGAGGAGGAGGAGGATGGCGGCCAATGAGAACAGCACCAGAGTTACAGGCTCATGCGTGCAGCACCGCTCAGGGCTGTCCTGTGCACGTTCCCAGCACCAATAACACATTACTGGTTGCTGACACTCCCCGTCCTGCTAAGCCACACCAGCTTCACGCTCTTGAGTCACTGAACTTGATCTCTGGATGTCCGCGCCCTCAGGAAGGCTCTGATCGCAGTGACCCTGCACAGCTGACAGAACCCTGCCCGGCCTGCACCAGCATCACCATCGTTGCTACGTCTGCGTCTCCGTTACAGACGCTGTGTCAGTCACCCCACGGATGCTGTTCCGCCTGTCCTCCTCTGACCGTTACCAAGAAGCCCTTTCTCCAGGGCCTGGTCCCTCCTGGTGACAATGACCAACGTGAAGTGACGGGTCACATCCTTGTTTCTAAGAGCTCTCAGGCTGTCGGTCCAAGACAAATGAGTTCTTCTGAAGTGCGCTGCATGTTCAACATCCTCTACCAACACCACAATCCAAAGGCTTCAGTGAGGGTTTCGTCTCTACTCCTCTGTCCATCCTCCGAAGCAAGCGCCCCGGCGCGGGTCAGGCCACTTCCGTCAAGAGCTGTGTTACATCTTACGGGGCCTTTTGCAGATCTGTCTGATCTTGACTGCAGAGTCCACGGGAGCTGACTGGGGATGCAGATCCTTTACAGCTTCACGTTTCCCCTTCTGTCAATGCTGCTAACGGGTCCCGTCCCGAGGACTGTGTCTACTGTGCTGTCACTACATGAAGGAAGTCAGACCGACACCAGCGGAGGACGTGACCACCCAGTTCTACCGGGCATTCTTGAACTGAGGTCTCCTTGTCCCTCATGGTGGAAGTGGGGGCAGGAGAGGCTAGGTCGGGGGCTAGAGGCAGAGGAGAGGCAGTGGCCCACACCGCAGGCTCCTGGGGAGGTAAGTGGACAGATCGAGGGCTCCAGCCCCTCTCGCCTCAGCCCTGTACTCTCGGCTGAGCTCCATCAGACACAATGTGAGGCTGTGCTGAGGAGTCACGAGCCTCAGGGACTTCGGGGGGTCTGGCTCTGTCCCACTGGCCAGAATCAGAGTATGAGCCTGTGCGAGGTGCCTTCTCTAGCAAACAGGTGACGGCGGCTACGCAGGTTCTGGGGAGTACCCAGCCTGTGTGGGGGCCCCTGAGCCTGGACACTGTTAGCCTAGCCAGGGAGCCCTGGCCTCAAAGGCAGACTGTCACCACCACTTTACAGGAGGAAATGAAGGCTGGGGGACACAAAGGGGCCGTGTGCAAGGCCCTGTGTAGGAAGGAGGACCGAGGCGCCTGAGCTCTCACTACGTGCTGCAGAGCACGGCCCTGAGCCTGGACGGCCCCGGCTTCCCAGACCTTCCAGAACTCTCCCTCACCATCCAGGCTGCTGGTGGAACCGCTTGGCAGGAAGTCCTTGCTATCTAGGACACAGAAGCCCATCCTCCTGAATCAATTAAGGTCAGAGGGCAGAGGTGGGTGGGGCCCGGCAGGAGCGCTTCTCAGCAGCCTGTCGCGGTGCCAGAGGCGAGGCTGCCGGCAGACGCCATCTGCTATGGAGGGAGTCCTCCAAGAAGTGGGCCAAGCCCGGAGCTGGGCAAGGGCGCCATGTTCCACGAATTCCAGAGCAAACGCAGGGTCCTCACAGTCTTCTGGCCAGAGCGCTGCCTGCTGGTTCCGCGGCCGTGGGGGCCGCAGCAGCCTCACCTGTACTTCCTGGTAATCCAGGTGAGTTTGCTAGGAAAATGAGAGCTCAGAGCGGCAGGGAACGCCCGAGGCCACACAGCTCCAACGGAAGGAGAGGCTTTGAATGTGAACTCGCACAAGGGTGGCACAGGCCCCGCGGGGTCACCTTCACTGCACAGCAGGTGGACAGGCCGGTGGCCCAATGTACCGAGGTGTCGGCTCTGCCCTTTACTGCGGCACACGTGGGTCCCATACAACAGCCTGTCAGTAGTACCTCAGTCTCCATCGCTAAGCTGGGGATGAGAATGCCAACGGGCTGGGAAGAGGCTGTGCAGAGCAGTGTCACGGGGGGTGTCAGGGGGGACTGTGTGCTCCCATTGCCGCTCAAGCCAGGATCCAAGAGGCCACTTACCTGCCCAATGCACACGACCACCGTGTACCCCCCGGGGCCAACGGCCACGCACTTTGGCTGAACGTCCAACTTCACCACGCCTTGTCCACTGATGGAGAGAGAAGACGGCACACGTCACTGAAAAGTGCAGGGGCTCGAGCAGGTCCTACACCCACTTAGAGCAAACACACCGAGGACAGTCCGTAACCTCTGAAGGAACAGTGTTACCCTGGGCCCTAAACCAGCCCACAGCCGTGCAGCTGAGATGCGGCTCAGTGCCCCCCCCCCGTTAGACTGGGAACTGGGCACCGGGGCTCTCTCAGCAGTGGTCCTCACAGACCTCGCCACACGTCAGAGGGTGGGCAAGTGAGAGGAAGATCCTCAAGAGACTGACCGACCCAGTGGCAGTCACAGTGGGTTCAAGTGCGCCGGAGAGGAGGACGGCACAGCGCAGGCAGGGTCAGCTCACAGGGTCACTGTGAGTCAAACCTGACCGGACGGCACCGACAATCCTTACGCATGCCAACTGCCAGCCCCTCCTTCTCAGTTATCCCTGGAGGGAGGCCTATAACGGACTCAGAGGCTGAAGAGGCAAACAGTAACTCATGGTGGGAGGCGGGTGGGGTGACGGGAAGTAACGGAAATGACCTTTCACCCTGGCTACCAGGGCTGTGCCCAGGCCACCCCACCTGTCTCGGCTTCTGTCTCCAACTCTTGACCACGGCCTGGCTCCCTTGGTGCTGATACGGCTGAGGTCTGACGCCCCCGCTGCCACGGATGGATCTCAGCAGGTGACGTTTAAGAAGAACCCACTCTCTCTGGGGACAGCCTGTCCTGACTCAACTACGGCTCGGGAAACACAGCCTAGGCAGGTGCAAAGATGCCTGAAAACTGACGTGAGAGGAGCGCCGCGGCCTGGCACACTTGGCCGTGCTCCGCTGTACTGCGCTTTGCACCCAATGTGCTTTTATGCCAACCCCATGCCAAGCAAGTCTACCCACAGTATTTTCCCAGCATGCACTCACTAAAAAGGGTGCTGGTGGCCTAATGGCAAGGAGCTGCACTGCTAACCCGAAGGCACACGGTTAGAATCCACCAGCCGCTCTGTGAAGAAAGATGGGCAATCTCCTCCCGTGTGGTTTACCGCCTGTGACACCTGTCAGAGGCTCACCCACTGGTTCTGACTTAGTGAAACAGCAGCAGTGCGCTCACTCCGCTCACTCAAGGCTCGTGTCCTGCTCTGGTTCTCTCTCTCTCTCTCTCTCTCTCTCTCTCTCTCTCTCTCTCTCTCTCT